GTCATATGGCACCTACTGCTGCATTNTAATATGATGGGAATGTCAAATTCAAATTTGTCCGGATTTAAGTGGCGGACCCTGTATAGTTTTATTTTGAAATGCATAAGTTAAAGTGATGCATTACACACATGTACGTATTTTTTTTTTTAACTAGGTGGTTTTACTTGGGAAGGTATTTTGGGAAAAACGTTAGAGGAAGAATGTCCAGCTGATGAGTTACCACAGTCGCTATTATCTAACAATGATAACAGTGATAAGACTGTTGTACAAACTGCTGAAGAATTTCAACTTGCACTAGGCTCGTTAAAGCAGAGGTAAGGTTTTAATATGTTACATAAGTCTTAATATATTTACAAAATCATATATTTGTCACATATATAAAACAAATTTTATTTACAGATATTTACTACGGATGTTTATAGAGGTATTTTAGGTTTAGCAACATGGTAGAGCTGCTGTGCATTACTTGCAACTAGTGCCATGGGCATGTTTTATGAATCATATTTTTCGAATGTGTAAAATGATTTATAATGAAAAACTCCAAATGTCGCAACACACAAATCTTGATCAATTCGCAAATCAATCGTTCATTATTAAAAATGTAGCATTGTCCACTGTAAAGTACATATTTTCAGACTCCATTTTAACGCCTATTGCCAGATATATATAGGTAGATAGCTATCACAGGTCAACATAGACTTTTTGTTTGGGAATGAATATATAATGATTCTTGAAACAGTTTTGTCCTAAACAACAAGTTGTCCTTTTTTTTGCTAAATTCGAATTTGATATTGAACTTTATTATTACTGTAGGATTTAAAAATAATGGCATAAAATGTTAAGACAAATATAAAAATTTCTGTCAGAAGTATATTATATATATTATCTTTATAAATTTGTTTTCTGCATACTTTAAATCCCTAATATTAAACATTATTATCATAAAATAAATCTGTTTTTCTATGTTCTTCTTACATAAGTAACTAATGTATATATGTAGTCTTTCATTTGTAATATGTAAGAATACACAACCAAACTTGTTTTTCTATGTTCTTCTTACATAAGTAACTATGGGCGTGTTCCGTTTGACCACAGTACGATTCGACACCGATCGATTCGACACCAAATTATTGGACACAGATTTATTCGACACCGTACGATTCGACACTAAATTATTTGACACCGTATGATTCGACACGAAATTATTCGACACCGTACGATTCGACACCAAATTATTCGACACCGTACGATTCGACACGAAATTATTCGACACCAAATTATTCGA